GGCATCGCGAATGCGTCAGCGCTAATGTCGCCATGTAAATGGCGAATCTGGACCGCCGTAAGAATCGGCCTCTCGGTAGTCTCGGTAGCCAGATGCGGTTGTTTGTCTCTCTCAGCGTCGTCGCGTAGGAATGAGGAAGTCGTTCGGCGATACGCACGTGAACTCTGACACTCTGACCGTCAATTATCATACTGTACTCAAGACTCTCAAGAGTCGCGACACGTCGAACGTTACATGGAAATGCGAATAAGGCGTTTCTGCGGCCGATCTCGCGTGCATGAGAAGAAATCTCTCTCTCGTTGCGCGACGCGCCCCGCTTCCCCTCCCGGAAAACTAGGAGAAACGAGAGCGGCCGTCTCTCCGTCTCTTTTTCGGGACCGGAAGAAGAAAGGAATGAAAGAGAAGAAAGAGAGCAAGGCGAGTCCACGTGGTCCGAGTGTGCGAACGCGCGGCGAGCGGTCCGCCGCGCTCGGCACGAGCTCCATAAAGGATTTCCGCCGCCCTTTTCTCCCCCTTCGGAGGTGAGAGCGACTGTGGCGCGCTTAGAGCGCGCCTCTCTCTCCCGCATTGTATAATAATGTATCGCATATGGTGCATCTTGTAAAACTCTGCGGGCGTTCCTCCCCTCCTCCCCCTGCCTCCTCCCCTTTCTCCCGCTCGCCGCTTCGTCTTGTCCCGAGCCGAGAGGATGAAGACCCGGAATGAGATTGTTCGCCGGGGCCCCGGTTCATTCATCCGGCTCGACGGGGCCTTAGAGGTGACGAAAGGTCCCGAAAAACCGCCTCCAGGTCACGTTCGACGGGGGGGCCGAAGTCTGCGGATTCCCGGATCGCCCCGGCGAAACGTTTCATTCGGGATGGGCTGGTCGGATCGGTCGGACGCTCGCAAAAGCACGGGGTGTGGTGTTTCACCGAGAGAAGTATAAATAAGGGGGGGATGAATGTTTTATGGGATTTTGAGGGTAACACGGTTGGGTTGCGAGGGCTTTGGTTCGCGTTATATGCGTCACATCGCGACTGTCTCGCGCTGTTTCACGCCACGTCTCATGTTTCCGCTTGTAGTAGCCCCCCGGGGGGCGTGAAATACACTCCTTCCGGAAAACGCCGATCTCACCTGTTGACGATGGATTAGCGGCAGAAAGTTATCTAGTTGAAACTCTCGCGATGATAAGTCCGTTTTGATCGCGCTGTCTCCGACACACTTAGGTTGCAGTCCATTTGATGCTACAAATGCTTTGAAGAGCTAATCTTCACCTTCTTTCTTCAGTTTCTTCAAAGAAAAGAGAAGAAGAATGCTTCGAAGCGTTTGTAGTGTTAAGTGGACAGCTTTAGTATTTGAATCGTTAAATTGTCTGTCGTTATACGGTACCGTTCTTTTGACTTCTCTTCTAATCCTTTCTCAAAATATCGGTAATATTGTTTGTGTCTTTTAGAAAAATATTTCCATATACTTGTTATATATATTGGCTCTGTCTATTGGAAGAAACGTTAAGCTATTGTTCTACACAGCTGACAACTGCTTTGTGTACCTTCCCAGTGCCACCATGCTAAAGTGGCTTAATTACCCGCATATTTAAATTTAAAGCGAAGCTGAAACCTCTTAGGAGGCTTCCTCTTAGGATATTCTACTTAGGAATTAAAGGAATCTTTTATCATCATCATGATATATATTGATAAAATATTTTTTTAATAGCTTGCTCGAAAGTTGTTTCTTTTTTTACTGTACATCTATTGTTACCACGTATTTTTCACTTTCAATTTTCTTCAACCAGCGGTATCTCGCTCGATTAGCGAACAGGGTACGACAGATCCGATTAGGTGAAAATATGCGGTCTTACACGCCGTTGGAGACGAAGCAGCCGCACCCGTGGTCATCGCCCCATTGGAGGGTAGGGTAGTCAATAGGATCAGAGACGATAACAATGTGTCTCGAGTCAAGAGCCCCTCGAAGGAGCGGGAAACTTAGTGCGGTTAGTCTCACAGATTAAGTCTCACACAACAGCCCTTCGAATTTACGATTCTCTTCCGTTCTGAAACTGTCAGAAAGAATATCCTACCTTTATAAATAGGTATCGTCACTTCAAATTACTTCTTTTTTGAAATCTTAATCGTATGTATTCGCATTTTCATATATTTTAATTTATTTTCATTCTGGTTGCAAAATCCAGAATACATTTTTAGCAGAATAACTATTTTCATCTTATTCGTATTTCCGTCAACGGTCGATTTACGTAACTTTTATTTATGCAGATTATCCTGTTCCAACAGCCGTTTCTCTTGTGCGAATGTATTTGTTCCGCATTTCTTTATTTTCCAATCATGCAGATTCTATCGCGAGCGGCATTTCATACATTCACATCCTCCCTTTGTCCTCATCTATCTTATTCTCGTCGATCTGTGGAAATTTCACTTGCAACACCGCGAGCGTATCCATCAATCGTTCAAGGGGCTTGACGACGACCGAAAAGTCTGGAGTGAAATCTTCGCGTCGAAGATGTGAAAAACCGTAAATGTCAAAGTTTCGAGATTTCAGAATCTATATCAATTTGAAAATAAAATCAATCTAAATTAACCCGGGAATGGGCGTCTGGGGTGAATTTTACACCCCAGTATCGAAAAAATGAAGCTCGCGTCACAATAATTTTAATATGCTTCTTTCGTTTGTTTAATATTTTTTTCTCCTACCTTTTTTTCAGAAAATATTGAGTAAATCTATATACATATTATCTTTAAGGAGGTTCTACAGATAATGGATGTATCTAAAAATTGGAAAAAACTTTATGGACGTATAAACTGAGATGCGAGAAAAGTGCTCGAAAAATTTTAGCATCGGTTACCGTGTAAAAATGTGCAAAAATGAATTTTGAAATCACAGTTTTTAACATAAGCTACATATGGCAGAGGGGCTCTTGGAGACAGGAAATGAGATATTAATTATATAAAGGCGACCTACCAGAGATTCAAAAAACGGAGCTCTTATAGATCTTAATCTAAGCTTTTCAGAAATATCGAGAAAAACAAGGGTTATCGCGTAAAATTTTGTGATATTGGCTATTGAAACAGGCCATATTACAGTTCACGTAGCGTGCTTCGAATAACAAGGGAGATTTGGCAATGTCGCAGCGACTGCACCCGCGCGAAAAGTGTACAGCCAGTACAGCACCACAGTATGACAGCACCTCAAACTTAAGCACCTAACGTTTACGAGCGCTTACAGAGAAGTACTCGCTCTAGAATTATGTGAAATTGTGAAATAACCACGGTCATATGAGCAGAACTGTCAAGTTCGCGACGTTACCACATTTTCTTCCATTATAAGCCGCCAAAGTCAAAGGAGCACTTACACGATATTTTTAATTATTTCTCGCTTCGACTAATATGGGTATGATATAAGCTCTAACGTCATCAAAATTCACGAAAATATTTTATGAATACTTAGAATCGATGAATTTGAAGATTTTCTCTTCATCTCTCAACTGACTAGAGAGTACCTGTAGAACCTCCTTAAATACCAACAAATTAGAACAATAAAAAGTATGCAATATGTAATCAATAAATAGTTATTTGTGTAACAAGTACGGTTACCGCATTCGCCTTCGGCTCGTGCGTAAACTCCGCACCCGGGAATTTTAATCTTTACGCACGGCTTACACACCCTATTTTATGTTGCAAGTGCCTGGAAAGTGGTCTATCACGCACGCGTAGCGTGCGTAATGGGGCACTTTTCATGCACGTGTTGCATAAAATGACTTTTTAATTATACGGTTTAAAAATTATCCCAAGTGACCATTTATGTAAAACAAAAATCAGGCGTACGCTCCGGGGTTAAGTGCATAGAAGAGCAATAAAGTAATGAGGAACATGGAAAAAATGGAGGTTTAGCGCATCAAGACAAGATACTTCATCATTTAAACGTAAACGTGTAATGACCGCCACGAGACTCGCGGCGGAGGTTGAAGACCGCGCGGAGCTTTTCTGCCGCGTCCTTTTTCTCCGCGACGGAACGTGCGTATCGCGCCGCTCGTTCTACCGTCGCGTCGCCGAAATCGTCCATTTCCGATCCGATACCCCGGCACCGGGGGCGACGTCGTAAAGGGCCGCGCGCGTCCGCGTACCGGGGGAGGACCGGCTTCGGGATCGGCGTTATAAGATCGGGCCACGTCTTTATCTAGGTTCTTTAGTAGGGGCGCGCGCGGGGGGCGGGGGGTGGTAATATATTTGGAAGGCGCGGAGCGAGATAAGTGGTTAGGTAGGTAGCCGCGGCGTGGTTGTCGGCCAGATAGTCGACCGGCTCCGGTAATGGAGACTGCAGGGTGCCGCTAATGCAGTAGCGATGTCACGGCGTCCGGTGCATCGGTATATTCCTTCCTCTCTCTCTCTTTCCGCCCTTCCGCTCTCCCCCGTTCGCGCGAGGCCACCGGACGTATCTTCGCCGGCCTTCGCAGATCGGCCGACCTGCACGTCCTTCTCCGTTTTTCTCTCTTTCTTTCTCCTTCTCGCTTTTTCTCGTCTTTTTCTCGCTGCCCCCGTCGTCTCTCTTTAGCGGAACTCTATTGAGGACATTGGTCGATACCGACACGGGGATATCGCGATAGCAGTCGGACGTGCAGAATGTGTTTATATTGGATAACGCTGCTGGTCACGATGAGGCTCATTTTCGTGGAGATTATTTTCCTCCTTTTCTCTCGATTAACTGAACGCGAGAGGTTTGTTGAAGGACAGAAGCCGTCCCTGTAGTTTTAATAGTAGGTGTGTGCGTCGTACGTTTGTCTCGTCCTTTGATACCGCAAGGGGTAGAAGGCAGAAGCTCTTTTCGTGGCGTAATTTTTATAACCCATCATCCTAGTCCTCCCCAACGTTCAACTGTGAAAATCAAAGGAATATTAGAAATGTAATCATTAACGTATACTGAAACGCAACCTTCGCTCGACATGGATCCGCGCAGCGTGCAGCGTGCGTTACACGGTATATAATATTGATCTCCGCTCTCTGTGTTCGCAGGATGTTCGGCAGCATGAAGCGGTGCGCGCGCTGCCAAGCGGCGATCCTGGCGTCCGAGCTGGTGATGCGCGCGCGCGAGCTCGTCTTCCACGTGCGCTGCTTCTCGTGCGCGGCGTGCGCGGTACTCTTGACGAAGGGCGACCACTTCGGCATGCGGGACGGCGCCGTGCTCTGCCGGCTGCACTACGAGATGGGCGCCGAGTTGCATCCGGCCCAGAGCCCGCCGGTCCCGGTCTACCCGCCCGGGCCGCACTACCCCGGCCAGCCCTTCCCCTCGCCCGAGTTCCTCCATCACCATCATCACCATCATCACGCGCCACCGCACCCACATCACTCGATGCACCCCCAACACCCGCACAGCCACGTCAGCCCGGTGCCGTTGCAGCCCTCCACGCCTTCCGACGCCTCCTCGCCGCCGAAGGTGCCCTACTTTAATGGCGCCGCCGCCGTGGTCCCGCCGCCCAGGCAGAAGGGCAGGCCCAGGAAGAGGAAGCCCAAGGATCTCGAGGGTATGACCGCGAGTCTTGGTAAGTGCAACTTTTTCTAATTATATACACTTTGTATATAGCAATGCGAAATCGAGGAATGCAAAAAGAATTGGTAACGGAGTTTCTCTTTCACAAAATTCCAAAAATCGGAGTCTTGGAATGTCTAACTTAAGTTCCGAAATTTCTAATTCCGAAAATCTCATGGTCCCGCAGTTTGGATGATCATTCGCGAGCCTGAGCACGGCACGAAAGTCCGCAGATCGTGAGGTCCAGATACATTGGTCGTTCTCGAAAAGTGACCTCCGATCGCGTCACGGGGGGGAACGCATGACCGACCCGGCGTGATTTACGGGCGTGCGTGGGCGCGCGACGCTTGCCACCGAAGCCTGATAAAATTTGTCGGCGAGACATAAATTCCCGAATCGAGTCCCCCGACGGAGTGCGCGGCGCGGCGCAGCGCGTGGGCAGCACGCCGGTTAGGCTGGGAGAACTCAATTTCCGAGTTGATTGTCGAGAGACCGATCGTGGGAACGAGCCGGCGGGTACCGGCCGGTGGCTTTGGTCCGAAGAACCACGGCGGACATCGAAACTTCTACTTGCCACCTCCTCGCTGCGCTCTTTTTTTTTCCCGTTCTCGCTCCTCGCTGGAGGAGGTCGCTCGATGTCGCCGTGTCGCCGTGAAAAAGGATCGTAGCGGCGCGCAGGTGATCGCCCGATACCACAAGCTGGTCTCTGATCTATCGTGGATCATGCCGGCAATTTTTCACGGCCATCGCTAAGGGCCGCGACGAACCATACTTCCGAGGCCGAGATAAATGGCCGTGTGTTTAGTAACACCTGAGTTATGGTTGTAGTTCGCAGCGTGCGGTCTTGCGCGGGAACAAATCGTTCGTACAGATTGCTTGTATTAATTGTTTAATAAGCGAAACCACGGTCGACTGGATAACGAGCGGTTTCGTGTCGCTGGATTGCAACACTAAAAAGCGCAACTTGTTACGACATTGCAGAAATAGGAAAGGGCCAGGAGAGATAACTACAATTGAAGTTAGGAAATAATTAACCCTTAAAGGCTAGTAGGTCTATATATAGGCTGCGTTCGCTTTGGGCGCTTTCGTGCTGAAAGCGTCAGTCTATCTTTATTGCTCATTACATGTTGAAAAAAGATGGAGTGATGGTTTCAGCACGAAAGCGTCCAAAGCGAAATGTTTTCAAAAATTGATGTTTTTGGACAATTTAATATTAATTATTGGCAATTACTCTAATTGTGAATCTATTATATACTTCAGTCTCTTCTACTCCTATTTCATATACATATAATTTTTTAAAATTTAGTTGATTCTATCCAGAGTTATGCGCGATCAAAGTTGCGAGGTCATATAGTGGATAGTGTAGCCTCAAGAGGTTGAGACTTGAATTGTGGCCTTTAAAGAGATAATTTTCCGAAAATTGTCTAAAAACGACCGTTTACTTCACGAATCCGTCAAACATCCTCCATCCGTCACCTCGGAGATTCTCCATATACAGTCCGTGATTCTCGGCTCGACTCGGATAGAGTTATCGACTAGGTTTCGAGTACGACGATCGCACGCTGAGTCGACGCCGTCGAAAGCGGGTTCTAACGCTGTTTGATGCGTATCACAGCTCATTAGCTCCTCGAGGCAAAGAGGCGGATTAAAGGCCTCGGGGGAAGGGGTAAGGAAAACGGCGAGATAGCGTATGTATGCGAAAGGCCGATGGATACACGGCCAATTACAGCTCTATGCAGCAAATAGTTTCCAGGCACGATACACCTCATTCACAGCCACGCCGATCTATCGCGACTCCTCTGCCTACAAGGATGATACTGTCGACATTGCGCGTGCGAGCTCGAGCAAATTGATTCGGTGGGATAAAACATGAGTTCCTTCGTATCTGACTCTCGTTCGGTTCTTTTTTTAAATTCTCCTCGAGATAGATCTTAGATGGTTAAACTTTAACACGGCTGATTGCCGTGATACGTCATGCTTGTCACTGGCACCTGATTTTTCAATGACGCCCTGACGGTCATTGGCGATCGAAGGTGTTTAAAACACGTTTATCAAAAATTATTGCCATTTAATATAAAATTTTAATATAAAATCACATAAATATATAGATAACAATGTAAAGTAAAGAGTGTGCAATTTAACACACTACCCATGAGTATATAATCTTATTTAATCATATACAGTATTTTATCATGCATGTTTATAAAAATTCTGCTGTGGCGTAAGACACGTTAAAATTCGCTGGGCAGACAACGTGTTAAATTCTAGAATAGCTTTCAGTCCGACCAATCTCGATGACGGTGCCGTTTCTGGATTTATGTTGCAGACCTAAACGCGGACTACATAGACATGCCCTTCGGTAGAGGAGGCCCCGGGACCCCCGGCATGCCCGGCTCCAACAGCCGGACGAAACGGATGAGAACGAGCTTCAAGCATCACCAGTTAAGGACGATGAAGAGCTACTTCGCGATCAATCACAATCCCGACGCGAAGGATCTCAAGCAGCTTTCCCAGAAAACTGGCTTGCCGAAAAGGGTGTTGCAGGTAAACAGAGACCGTCCGACTCATGCCATTCGCGATTCCGCGTTTTCTCTTAATGCGAGCCGACCGCGCGGTGTTGAAACTGGAATTTCCTCGTTTCGATTTCGTTAGCTCTTAACCGTGTCGCGTTCAACTCCGAAAGTGGTTACGCGCTGATGTAATTACAAAATTATTACTTTTAGTCGTATCTAATCTTGATACAAATTATATTGCATTGTATATATAAAATCTAATTACGTGTAATTAAAGTTTGAACGAAATCCTTACATGGAATTTTAAACATTTGAAATGTTGGGTCTCTCTCGTGAATCTCCAAACAAAATATCGGATTTTAGAAACTCTGAGTGTTCGTAACTCTATCTATTTCAAATTGGATATGACTTTAGATTTTCATAAAACTGGGTAAAATCCACTATAAGATCTTATTAGATCCTTCATATATATATAAATCACCATGAAAAAATAACGAGATCACGGCGACCCGAGCGCAAAAGGAAAATCCAAAGATGGATAGCCGGTGGTTCTCGCTCGATCCTTTTGCCTCGCTCGCATTTCGGGAGGGTGCGCCCTATAAAAATATTCACGTACGCGAGCCGCGCGTAGACACGCGCGCTTCTCCCAATTAGTGCGGCGCGTACGGCGTGGCTGCGAAGTTAAAAGAACCGCGCGGAACGGAGCGATATTTCCGTCGACGAGAGGCTGCGGCCTTTCTCCGTAATTACGAGCCGGCGTCAATCCGGAGACAGTCAAAACCCCCCGGCGGACGACTAAGCTCCGTCGTAACGTCGGACCCGCGCTCGCCGGCTCGCTCTCGTTAACCCACTACCGTTAAATTATTAGGTTGTTACGAAAGTTTCGCGCGCGTTCCTTTGTGAAGCGTGCCATGGACGCGCGGATGAAAAGGGAGAACGATCGAGTGCGGGAGATACTGACGATTTAAAGGTAAATGAGGCGAGGCGAAACGCAGCGGCATGGAAACGAGGAGCTTAGGTCAGGCGAGGTTCCCTTCTATATTCGGTTTGACTTTTTACAAATATAGACTTAATTTCAATGAATGTTGAATTTCCGTAATTGTAATGATCGAATGCTAGAGCTAGGCTGTAAAGACTTCGAGTCACTCAATCAAGAATTCCAAAGTACCAAAGCTCGAATATTCTTTGAAGTTTTGAAGCTTTTAACTCTCGAGGTCTCACAACGCGAGGTTCCAGAGATTTCAAATTCGCAATTTTGAACAACAGAAGATTTAATTAGTCACTTAGAATATGAAGTTTGTAAAGGGAAAAATCTAACATATCGAATCATATGCATTATATCAAAATATGAAAAACAATTCTATTAGCTATCAATTTTCAATTATTGTATATATAATCATACTTTTTATTTCAATACATTTTTAAGACAATGAATTAATTTTTCTAGACCATTAAAAAATATTCTGAATTTTTGTCATTAAAATGGTTTTAGTCATTTAAATGCTCAAATCAGATTTTAATTTAAAAAATAAAGTGATTATTTTTTATTGTTAAAATTGAAACTTAATTGCGTGGGAAAAAATGATGAAGCAGTGATCTCTAGTGTTAAATCATTGTAAGGACAAAAACTCAGAATATTTTTTTTAGTGGTATATAGAAAAATTGATTCATTATTTTAAAACATGTATTGAAATGAAAAGTGATTATATTAAAAAATAAAAGAAATTGTTTTATTTTTTGTATGCCTTGAGGCAGAAACTTTTAAATCTTGCTACGTAATTCTTAACGTAGATCTTAAATCTAGTCTACGTAATACACCTCTATAACAAAGCTGTTTTCTCTAAAGTACAAAAAAAAAACCAGCAATTTTACAGAGAAAAATGACGTCATTTAAAACTGATCGCCATGTTTTCTTCGATCTTCCGCATAACAATCATTCCAGTTGTTACATCGCCTCGCTTCTGCGCCCATTCGCCGAGCCGAAGAAGAGGGTTGGAGGTGGCCGCTATTGTATTCGTAGGGTTCTTGGTCGCCATCTTGCTTGATATTGATCGCGAAACGCACGAATACTTGCCCGCCGCGCGCGCACACAGACACGCCGGCACACGCGCGCGCACGCTCGCGTTCACGCACTCGAGGGGGGACACGCACGAGTAGTCGGTTCGCGAGTTCTTTCGTTGGAAGTCCGCGGGGGAGGAGACTGTCTTGAAAATGGCGACGTCGGGATCGCGTCGTCTTTCATCTATTGTGAACATAGAGGAAGCCTCGCGGAGGTGCGCACGTGAATAGGAGGAGGAACTCTTATCTAACGTACCGCACGTTTGCGGATGCATGAAGAAGCGCTCATTCTTTTCAGCATGGCATAAACGTTGTGTAAACTTAATATCCCTCTGTTATTCTTCAAAACGTTTACGTTGCGCCTATTAATTAACGCTTAAAGGCTCAATTACTTGAGACTCTTCAAAAATTAATGTTTTTGGGCAATTTAATATTAATTATTGGCAATTTTTCTAATTCTATATTATATTCTTCAATCTTTTCTATCTCTATTTCATATATAATTTTTTAAGATTTGGATGATTAGACCCAGCTTTATGCGCGATCAAAGGTCCATATATGGACCATGCAGCCTTTAAGGGTTAATTAAGATTAAATCGCGTTCCACCCCCCCCCCCCCCATTCCGTTTCTCGAGCTCGCGCAAATTTCAGCGACGACTCAAGCCGTCGTACGTAACGGCCGAACCCTCTGCTGGTCTTGTTCCCAGGTCTGGTTCCAGAACGCGCGGGCAAAATGGCGGCGCATGGTGCTGAAGCAGGAGGGCAAGTCCGACAAGTGCGACGGCGGGGTGGATGGCGGTAATCTCGGCGACCTTGAGCTCTACGGGAACAGCACCGGAAGTGGCGGGCCGCCGATGAGTCCGCCCTTCATGCTCGGCGGTCCCCACAGTCCTGCGTCCCTGGCATCCCTGGACTGCGCGTGATCCCTGACGTCCGGATTCGTCCTGTCTGGCTAGCGTCGCGCGTCCACGTCCCGCGACGGGACATCGGTCGATTTGGATGTGCACCCTTCCGGACGGTTTCTCACGTGAGTGATAATCGCTCGCGAGTGCGTGCGTGAGGACGATGAATTGTGAATAGTCGGTGAGCGTGTAAAAAAAAAAGAGAGAAAGAGGAATAGCGTTTCCGCGAGCGAAAATTCGCGGACCGGATTAGCGACGACCGATCGAGCACAAGACTTCGAGGAGTGCATTTTTCGAGAGCGCCGAGTTGTGAGTTTTCCTTTCAACCAGTGAAAAGCTTGCTTCTCGTTATCGTCCCGCGAGCCGAAAATTGGCTTCTCGAGGCGCTCGCTTCGGATCAAGACGATTGTAAAATTTGACGCGCCGATGCGTAGATTTGTTTTAATCAATAAAATCGTTGTATTTATTGTAGCTCGAATTGCGACGCGAATTCGCGTCGCGGAACACTAAAGTCGTTCGTTGAGGGCAATGTAATTAGTGAACGAGATCTATTTATTCGCCTAAGTCTAATTAAGGATCGCGAACATTACCAGTGCTGTGTGAAAATCCGGTGTTTCGCGAGTTCTCGAAGAGCTGTCGGTTGCTGTCATCTTTAATTTATTGAGGAGCGTAGTGGCTACATATTGGACGGATCGACTTGTTGAATTATTAATTATTAATTATTTATTTTTTATTTCTCTGTATATGTCTTTTCTTTCTTATTTGAAACAGGTTTCTAAACTTTTGATACTACTGGTCGATTGACAAATAATCGAGATTTATATTTTTCTGATCGTGTCATGTTTTTTGTAAATAAAAGCAGAGATTTATACCGACATAAACAAACTTGAAGATCGATCAAAGCTCTATCGAGCGCTTGAGCGAAACGCTGGATTTTAACGGGAGGATATAATTATTTATAAAAGAAAAAAAATGAGCTGCGAACGCGAGTTATTGTAATTATTGCTCAAGATCAGACCGCGACAGACCCATAAAAGAAGCGACCCACGGTTCTACCTGGTTATTAACTGTAAATAAAGGACGTTCCTCGTGCGTTTCTCTTAAGGCACCGTTATAGGTTGTAGGGCCCTATTAATTGCATTCGGTAGCGGTCGTGCTTCTCTAGGCGAGAGGTAAAAGTAATAGTAAATGAGGATTACGCAGGACACTACTGTTATTATTGCTCCTACTAATTATAGTCCTCCTTGTAACGATGCGGAAGGATTGTCCAAACTTTTGCAAGATCATTTTTTCATTGAATATATTTTGACAATATACGCCGCGTGTCTGTATGTGTTTGTATTTCCCCATGTCTCTCCCTCTCACCATCTTCCTTCTAATCGCGAGTTTTCTTTAAAGCCGCAGGTTTCAATTAACACTCTTAAAGTTTCTTTGGTATGGATTTAAATTAAAAAATAGCCACTGAATAATAAATAAGAGTTATTGCGACAGTTTATATATAGGAGAATATAAATGTGACGACAAAAATTAAAAGATTCTTGTATGATTTTTTTGCGCAGAAATGCCGTTTAATGTTTTTCCTTCTGGATACATAAACTGGATCCAGAATTGCATATTTTATTCTTCTATTCGCGCAGTTCATAGAATCGGCTCTCGACAAACAGAATCCGTGATTTTCCGCGAAGGAGACGCGATGGAAAGTCGCGTGATATGGCGTGCAAACCACGACGGTGAACCAGAATTTCACCCAACAAAAACCGGCGCGCACATTGTCCGTCCTGTCTTACCAGTTGGCCAACCGGTAGGCTGGATTCACTGACCGGCAATAATGGCGGAATATTCCAACGCGCTCCATTTATACGCGTGCAAAAAAAAATTGAAGAAAAAGAAAAATACGTAAAAGCCGTTTCAACGTAATATAACGCATTTTTAAATCGGTCAAAGAGAAGGACTTGAAACTTGTAACATCGTGTCTCAATGCTTCTATTCACAATTTTAGAATGTAAATCTATCGCTTGGAATCTCACAAAGTATCGAGAAATAAATTCAGACGGTATTATTCATATAAAACCGAGAATCGAATCTCAACAGCTTCCCGGGCACGAGGCTCCCGCTCGTTATTCATATTTCCCATCTTATTTACGGGCTTTGTCCATCCCGGATTGGCGACACGCGGCATTCATCGGATTTCTTCTGGACGGCCGCGGCGCGTCGACGATTTAACGGCCCGATTATGCGGAGCTATGAAAATGCGATGCGTCCCGCGGCTATTAAAGCTGAAATTATATCCCGAATGGCGGACCGAATTACGCAAGACTGGATACCCAACTTCGCGTAAATTACGCGCGTCGAGCCACAGAAGCGGAATTCTGTACTCGGCCAAGATAATAATTTTTTTTCCGCCGACGAAGGCTCGCAACGAGCGCCCGTTATGGGACATCATAAACATCCTACTTGCCGGTCTATTATGTCGTTATCGATTTATATATTTCCTTCAATCCTTCTCTTTATCGAAAAAAATCGTGACGCGAGAAACACGAGTTGACAGATTTAACATAAAAAAAGCATGCAAATCCGCCGCTTTGGTCACATTCGTAATAATAATGCAAAAATACAATAAATAAATATACATTTTTTCGAAGATTTTTATGGACCAATGACAGGAATAATCGGTAAATTTAATATTAATTGCGACATAATAGCTATAATTTATGATACACTAAACCTGACAATCGAGAGAGAAAACAAGAGGTCTCGGTGATTTATTTATTTGCTTCATGCTGAGATTTTACTTGTTCGTTCGGGCCACGATTTCCTGTCCACTCGTCGAGAGCTGTAAAAAAAAGGTCTATATAAATGTTGTTTCACGAACGTCGCCCCGCGTTCTGATTTCTAACAGAACTCCGCGTTCACACAGGATTGCGACGCGAGCAGCAGCGGCGAGCGGCTTTCCTTCGGCCATGCAATATGCATCGTGCTGCATTCAGGACGCATAGCGAGCGCGCCGATGCGATTTCAGCGCGCGATTATTTGTTGAATTTCTATGCCAAAAAAGGACGACGGCGGATAAAAGGAACGGCACTATGGCGTCATCCGCGTCGACGGAGAGAGAGAGAGAGAGACGGACACCCCCTAGCTTCGCAACCATGCAGTCTTAGGTTCCGTTACTTTCGAAAAATAAAACTGCTCATCTAATAGTTATCTTTAAACAAATATTTATTATGTTTTTCTCTCTCTATTCTTTCTTATCATTATTCGTCGAATCGCTTAATTTTCTTTCGTTCAACTTTAAGTTGAAAAATATTTACAATTTAGTCGAGAAAAAATTGAATTCTTTTTTGCTTCATCTTCCGAAAACAGCTTTCGGAAACAGAATACGCAAACGTTTTTACGATATTCTCTGCGGCAGTCTTATCCTGCGAGGAATCCACGAGAACACGATCGGTGCCACGAAGGATCGCCCTATTGCATTCGACGAAGTAAATGAGACGTCGATGTTCGACACCGTCGACACTGTCATCGACGATCTTCAGTCCGCGTAGTCTGGCATCGATCATCCGTGTTATCGGTATCTCGATCCTGGAACCGGTCAGAGGACAGAGGACAGTAAACGAGCCTCTCGGCATCGGCCATGGGGATCTAGGAATCCATCGGTCGCCTCCGTCACGCCTCATCGGCTTTCAGAATGAACGATCTTCGAATGTGACTGAAACACGCGCGAGTTTGTTCTCCTCCCCATTGATTTCGATAGGAGATCGAAAATAGCTCACGATTCCGGCGCCCTTCTCGATCCCGGACTCGTGCGCCTGTGAAACTGATATTTGGATAAATATCGGATGGTTGTTGAGAGCTTCTCGGAATCGATACATATCGATAGAGTTCTGTGGGAAATATAAAGAAATCGTCTACCAGGATCTGCGGTTTTAATAAATTTTTTAATAAGTTTGATAGCGTCCGATACGTATATAGTACAGAATAAATAAATATTGACATATTTTTAGTCATTGGGCGGGATAATCTTGTGTTTAATAATAATGTTTAATAATAATTTTTGTGAATTTTATATTTCCCGCCTTTGTACTTTTAACCATGCGTCGATTACAATTCAATTTTGAAATGCAATTTTATGTCAAAGTTGGATTTTATATTCTAAGTTCCAAAGCATTCCAGATTCAAAAAAGGCCAAATATATATAAAATTTATAAAAACTTATTATGCATAAGATTCAGCCCGGTGACTGAAAATATATCAATATTTATTAATCTATTTTTCAGTTTTAATTTTTTATAACGACTTGTGCATTCTCAAAACTCGAGAATATGAGGAAAGATTTAAGTTGACGAAAATACAAATAATTCTATAAATATACGAAATTTGTTCTCACTAAAAAAAATATCAGAAAAAATATGTGAAAAAAATCTCATCACATTTATCTAAATCGACGAATAATGCATTTATTCCTGCATAAAGTATTTAAACTATCAATGGAATTCTCGTCTGGTTAGACGGTTGGACAGTTTTATTAATGCGATTATCTCTAAGAATTCTTACGTCTCACTGGTATTTATGTCATCGATGATTTCATTAAATTTTTTGCACGATAAACAATTGCACACGTCTCGATAAGAATGACTGAAGTTGAGATTAAAACCGACGTTTCCAAATTTGAGAAGGACGTAAATTATAAAAATTTATATCCTCGATAAGAAGACGAAAAATAGCAAGCAGGTGAGTTCGGCACATCAAAGAATCCTAGTCGCCCAGACTGGTGGCAATCAAAAAAACGCGCAAACAATCGTGAATTAATTAAGACTTTATTCCGAATGAGTAATTCCGATTGCCGATGCCGGCGGTGGGTCGGCATAAAACGCGCGTTTGGTTAATTAATGGCCGCGAACGGCGGTGGGAGTTATGCAAGCTATGTAGATAACGACGAGCCGAGTGATAACGCGCCCGTCGGCATTGTTTATTTTAATCCGCTGCTTTGATTGCAGAAATTTTGCGCCCGCTTCGACAAATCTTTAAGAGCGTCATTCGTTACTTTTAATTGCATGTCTAATTACACCGCTCCTGTATTTTATATTTATGACGTAAATAAGTATATATACTTTCGCGAATACGTTCCGTAATCTGAAATGCATTTCGCCGCGACTGCGTGTCGCGTCTAACTTCTCCTATCTCTCCTCTTCCATCTTCATTTCACTTCGGCTCTCTTATCGCGATAAGAGATTCTGCGAGGCAGGTCTTTCCGCGACCGAGAAAGTGTAAAAACGAGCTCGTCGTTAATACGCCCCCCGCCACGTGACATTATTTCCTGGTGCCGGTCGCTCATTAGACTCCGCTTCCTGATTTTTTTAATGCCTCGTTCTTCCGCCACGCGCGGATACACCTTCGCTCCGGCTTCACTTTCAGTCGGGGCTCGTCTCGTTTCATCTCGTCTTAGTTCGTCTGGTTACCGAGCTCTCCTCCTCGAGCGATACACCACTCGCACGGCCGTTCTTTCGCCGAACCCTCTTTTTTCATCACCCCCGTGCTTGAATCACCGCGTCACGAGAGACCCCGAGCTTCGACGCGACGCGTTTGTGCGATTTCTCGTGAAGCAGACTCCTCGACGGAGAGGAGTGGTGTTTGTAGTGCGCGCAGGCAGCGAGTCCTCATCCAAGACTTACTGACGCAGCTACCAAAGTGAAACACGCGGTTGTCTCTCTCGCCGGACTTGTCGAGCTGCTGCAGATCTGATTTCTAGGCTTTTCGTGACGGAAGCTTGAGTTTCCAAAATGTGAAGCTGCGCAACGCAATTATCGAATCTAAAATAAACAACCTGTTGGCGAAGTAATCGTGATTCATTGACGTCTCATAAAACGAAGATTACTCGAGGATCACAAGCGTAGATTCACGGATAATCGATTATTCGTCAACCTGCAATTGTTAATCCAACCGTTGGATCTTTTGGGAAAGATCTGACGTCTCTCGTACACGCTGTTCTTCTCTCCGCGGTTCATCTCCCTCGTCTCCTTTTTTCAGTCCCGCGGAGAAAGGAAGTGCGAGAGAGCACTCGTGTGCACGCGTTTGTGGGATATTTGCGGGCTCCGTTTTTCTCCGCCACCCACTGGGTGCTGTTGACGTCACGCTCGGATACCATTCGACAAGGGGCGCCGCTCTTCTGGGCCAATAATTCAGACTTCAAGGCGCGGCCGCGAAGATCGCCGTGACGGAGTATCAAAAGCCACGTGCTCACCCTCCGCTCTCGTTCCCTCGCCCTTCGTCCCCTCAGCTGGTCAAAGCGGAGCACAGCGAAGCGAAAGAGAGTCGGAAG